ATAAATGGCAACATTTTTAAATTTTCGTGGAAAATAAATAAATAAATAAATAAATGTATATATATATATATAGGAAAAGCCTTCTCAATGCCTATAAGGGAAAATGAGCAGTGACTTCGCCTACCCTCATCACCGTCCAAAGTTCATTGCACAATCAAGATTGTCTGTTAGCGTTTTATTTTTTCATTTTTTTTACAAATGAGAATGATTTAAAATTTGGAACGTGTGTTCGAATTAGTGAGGCGCACCTAATAAAAAAATAATTCACAAAAATAAAATTAACCAAAATACCCCCGAAACCTTCAGGGGTATTTTGATCAATTTTTTTCATGTAAAATATTTTTTGATATTTTTGGTAGATTCACTTATTTTTTATGAACACACACTCCAAATTTCAACTCATTCGGATTTGTAGAAAAAATAAAAATAAAAACTGAAACACTACCGGACAATCGTGACAATGCGATGAATTTTAGAAGGTGATGAGGGTAGGCGAAATCACTGTTCATTTCTCCTATAAGCACTTATAGGAGAAATGAACAGTGATTTCGCCTACCCTCATCACCCTCCAAAGTTCATCGCACGGTAACGATTGTATATTAGTGTTTTATTTTTTCTCTCTACAAATTAGAATGACTTGAAATTTGGAGAGTATGTACATCTTAGTGAGGCGCACGTAATAAAAATATAAAAAAAAAAATTAAAAAAAATTGACCAAAATACCCCCCAAAATTTTCTAGGGTATTTTGGTTTATGTTTTCATGTAAAATATTTTTTTGATATTTTTCACAGATTTGCCTATTTTTTTTTAACACAAACTCTAAATTTCAAGTCATTCCAATTTGTAGAAAAAAAATGAAAAATAAAACACTACCAGACAATCGTGATCATGCGATGAATTTTGGACGGTGATTAGAGTATGTAAAATCACTATTCATTTTTTCCTATAAAAGTTTTGTAGCATCTCCTATATATATATATAACCAGTACGCAATGTCGTAGGCTCTGTTCAATAAACCGCCCTTGACATAATATGTCCATATCGAGGCAAAATACTATTCAAAATCCCCTATAGTCATTTTTATAGAGAGAGAATGTGGGTTGTCATAGAGATAGAGAAAAAGAGGGTAGAGAGAGGGTAGAGAGGTTACATAGAGAGGGGGAAAGAGAGAGGGGGTCGAGAGAGAGAGGCAAAGAGATTACATATGAAGATAGAAGTTAGAGAGAGAAAATTACAAAGAGAGAGTGAGAAAGAGGTTGTGGGGGAGAGGGAGAGAGAGAAAGAGAGAGTGGTTCGATGAGGTTTTTTTGGTGTGGACCTCAACTCACACTATCAAAGGTAGTTTACTTTCGTACTATTAACCATTAAAAAAAAGAGTCTATGGGTTCTAGGGAGGCAATTCTCATCTCCCGAAAATGTTAATTCCATTTATTTTGATGGAAGTGACATTTCAACAAATAGGCTCAAAATGTGGATGCTACATAGGAATCTTGTCCTTGGTGCGTATCCAAACACAGGAAACGGCTGGTAGCTATGGAAATGGGTCTCCTTGATTCCCATTTCCAGGGAACCAAATGGGGCCTAAGAGGCACGTGGGCTGAAGTACAAGAGTTATGTCCAAGAAAGGAGATAAGTTTTTGTTCGTGTGAGATAGTTTTGTTCATGTGTAGGAGGATGCTTGGGCTGATTCATTGGCAAAATTGAGTGTACAAAATTCGAAATGGTAGAGATTTATTAAGTCTTGGTGGATTTGTAAGTTTTTTTTTTTTATAACTGTCAACAATTTGTATTAATTAAAAAAAATTAGATACAAGAGAGTCTTCCCTTTTGGTGGATTTGTAAGTTGTTGTGAATGATAAAGTGTGGTAAAAGTTTTATATCATACAATGTACTGTCTGGTGAAGTTACTGGCTTAGTAACTGAGCTGATGTAATTTTTCGAAAATCCCGACACTAGCACAGAATCTTTGAACATTTCACAAAAGTAGAACACCCTTCAATAAGCTTTCTCCAATCTTTACAACGTATACCGATTATCATTACTACAATCATTTGTATCAAACATTGACATGTTCAGAAGGTACTCTCGGCTTTCCCCTACACCAGTTCATTGTGTCTACCGAATCTCCTTGAGCAGAGCCTTGCTTCCAAAAGTAGTTCATAAGTGATTGGAAAAATAATAATAATATAGCCATTCATGTGGTTTGATGTTTTCCCTAAGAGTGATCAGAAAGAAACTGGGCTTTATGAAATAAAAGCAGTTGTTCACAATATGTAGAAGGCTGACATCCTTTCATGTGCACCAGTCCCATATTCTCAGCCATTGTGGGCATAAATTTTCAGTGTGCTCTCTTTCCTCTCTTCTTTGGAGTAGCCTCAATCTTTAGAGTAGAACCTTGACCTGAGCCTCAGTATCTGGAGTAGAGTTTTGCTTCGAAAAGGAGTTCATAAAATGAATAGTTAAAAAAGAAAAAGAACAAAGAATGTATGGTCAATCAATGCATTCAGTTTTATATTTGTCCTATGAGAGATCACAAGAAACTAGGTTTTTCCTAGTGGATATTGTGCAACTACTCGATTTTCCTCATTTACCTGCTGGCGGCCAGACAGTGAGGCAAATTGCTAGAGGGGCGGTTCTTTGGGAAATCTAGAGAGAGAGGAATATGCATACCTTTGATGGTGGTCGCTTTATTGATAACATCAAGCTCTCTTTATGGCATTGGCTTTCGGTGGAAGGGTGGGGCCTTTCTCTACCAGATGTAATGCTTACTTTACCTAATCTCTTCCGGTTGGGTAAAGTCAAGATGAGACTCCAAAGCTTTTGGACACCACCGGAGTCTCAAATTGAACTTTAATGAATGCTCGCTAGGCAATCATGGTTTGACAGGTATTGGTGGGATCTTCTGCAATAGTCTGGGAGAGGTCATCGTTTTTCATGCTGGCCCCTTAGGCCATGCCACTGCTAATCATGTGGACCTCGCATTGTTATTGCAAGGTTTAGAGTTTTTTATCTCTAAAAATCTTGGTCGGAGCTGTTTAGTTAAAGGTGATTCTTTAAATGTGATCGGTTGGTGCAATAAGGAACGGCGAATCCCCTGGAAGCTGCGATCTATTTGGTGGAAAATCATGGATCCCTTAGCCTCTCTATCGATCTCCTTTTCTCATGTGTACCGTGAGGCGAATTTTCTGGCTGATTCTTTGGCTAAGGGCAGGGTTTCTTTACCTTTCCTCTTATTCTCTTTTGATGTAATCTCTTTTGATTAATGCTCTAATAAAATTTTGAAACTTTTGTCAAAAAAAAAAAGAACAGGTTTTTCTTAGGATAAATTGAGTTGTCAGTAGCAAATGTATTTAATGTATTTCTAAAGGGAAGTCCTTGGGAGCAGACATATCGATTTGGGTGAAGGAGGTCAAGGGTCCATAAACTGTGTGCAAGAGCTATATTTGACATTCCAAGTCGTTTAATTAGAAGTACCTAATTTTCACATGCAAGAGGGATAGGAACCAAATTCTCCAGTTAAAGATGAACCGATTATAGTGAAATAGGCATATACATCTTTATACAACCAAAAATACTGTATTTTTCATAAAGATGAACCGATTATAGTGAAATAGCCATATACATCTTTATACAACCAAAAATATTGTATTTTTCAATATTTCGAACTCTGCTATCCGACTTGGGACTCATCCGAGTCAGACCGGGTATAGAGGCTACTTTGTTCAGGCCCAAAACCACCGGAGAGGAATAGCCCAAGTCTCCCTACTTTTTAGTTACACCGGTATTTCGTCTTTTTGAATAAAGAAAAACATTCTTTCGTCTTACTAATATTCTGGCAGCGTTGTGTAAAGAGCATGCATGCTCCCTGCGATAGTGGCAAACCGATACGAATATAGATCACTCAACTGGTTAGACAAGAAGGGAAAAGTTTATATAGAGCCGAGGCTCTAAACAATCGAATTTAAGCCTACCTTCAAAAGTTCACTAAAAGAGGTTGTTTTGATGTCTCAATATCTTCAAATCGATCATCTTCACATCAAGACGCATGGACATCAGAAAAATAATAGATTTCAAGGTTTGGAAGTAATGTATTTTGTAACGCATATTTTGTGACGCATTTTTAGACCGTCAATTTTCAAGATTTTCAAGTTTTCAAAGATACGTTGATCTACACTATTTTTGAAACTTCGAACTTTATAAAATAAATATGAAAATATATTTTAAAACTATCACAAAGATTTCCAATATTAAAACCATATTTCTCGACACTATTTGAAGGTAGGCTCTGATTTGATTGTTTAGAACCTAGGCTCTATACAAACCGCACCCAGACAAGAAAAAGAAGGCTGCAATGGCAGCTATTGCAACCCAATTGACAAACTGGTGCACCAGCCGAATGGCAATTACAGTGTTCGACAAATCGAAGCAGACTTGGAAACCGGCCAAGGGCCAAGTCCGACTGACCTGTAAACCGGCCGGTCCAAAGTGTTAACAAAAAATATAAAAAATACAGAACAAATCCAAAAAAAATATGAAAAATATTTTTAAAGCATAATTAAACAAAATAAAGCATATCCATATAAAGTTGAAAAATAGTGAAAAAAAATGGATTTTAAAAAACCAATTTGCAGCTAGGAGTATAAATAATCCAAAAAAGAAGAAAAAATGTAAAAATAAGCATTCATAGCTAAAACACTTTCCAATCTTTGCCAAAATGATAAAAAAAACATTAAAAACACATTACAAATCCCTTATTTTTGGGGATTTTATGTAATTTTTTATTTTTATTTTTATTTTTTTAAAACATCCGGCCGTACTACCTAAACGGGCCAAAACTAGATCAGCCAATGCCCAGTTCCAGATTGACCGGTCAGTTCAAAGGTGGACCAGCTGACTTTGCAAACACTGGGCACTCAAATAACATCATATCCATGAGCGCATAATCAAAGAAAATCTAAAATGATTCATATTTCACATGTCTCTGCATCTCAATGTCCAATTGAGCCTCCAAATGTCTTCTGCCATTCACTTGACAAAGTATTATCATATCTCCCCAGCTAAATTAGATGATACAACTGTTTTAGGCCATAAAGCCTTGATTTCACATTAATAGAGGGAAAAAAGAAAAAAAGAAAAAAAAAACAGCTGCCCACTAGCATACACAATAAACATATTTTTTAAAATTGAAATACATAAAAAATCATCTCCTCTGATCTTAGTGCTTCTTCCCTCAGGACAACAATTGCACCGGGCCATCATCAGAGTGTGCATAGATCATTCTAGGACTCTTGGCCACACATGTCAAAAATTTGAGCTCTAATGGGACCTATGTACGCATGCCCTGAATCACTGTTTCCCCATGTATTCCTCTATTCAAAGATACCCCTTCATATTTTTTCCCTATAAAAATTCAGTATCTTGCTTTTGGAGAAGCAATAAACAATGTCAAGAAAAACCCTTCTCAAACAATACTTGGTGGATCCCCAACCCAGTTGCAAACTGCTCTAGGCCACCAAGTGCGCACACAATCAACCAAGGGTGCATGCTGTGGGGGATCAGGTTGGGTCACCTCTGCAACTCCATCACACACATTGGACCCACTGCTCGAGGAAGGCCCCACCATATCAGACATGAACTCTTCAGGAGTCCATTTTGGAGGCACAGTGACCCTAATTTTTGAGAGCCTTGGTCTTTGTTGCAGAGCCTCACCTCCTGACCCTTGGAGTGACCCACTGTTTTGAACCGACTTTGCAATTCCATTGAAATGGTAGAGATCAAATTGCCTCCTTCCCATGAGCCCTGTGGAGTCCTTGAGGCCACCTGAGCTCTCATCAAGTTGTAGTAAGACTTGCCAGAATTCATTCCACACAATGAAGCCAGAGTTGCAGAGGGCTTCGAGTTTCTCCGGTGGAATGGAGATGTTGGTTTCTCTGAGGACCTGTGTTTTTTTAGGGTTTTTTGATTACTCAAATGTGATGAAAATATGATAACTACAGATTGATGTGTTATGCTATATACTAAGAGGATTCATTGGGGTTAGGAGCACCAAATGAAAAGAAACAATGATGACGGGAGTGGGATATAGTGGTAGAGCCACATCCTGCTATAACAGATCCTACTCCTTTGTACACAGTCCATTTCATTTGATCATCATAACGCCAATGAACAAGAGTAACATGGTCCATTTGATTGTATGTACTTTTGATAGGAAATATATCGGTGAGTGAAGATTGAATTAGCCAGTGAAAGGAAAGCTAGCACAAATTCTAAATTGGCTGGACTAATAAAGCATGCAGAGCAGATTAGTAGCAGTCTAAATTTCAAAACAAGCAACCGATAAACAATGAAAAAAAAATAGCAGTGTGCCACAATTTATGAAATTAGAATAAACTGATCATCATTTTGGATAAGGTGCAAAATTGTCATTCTCTCTGCAATTAAATACAGCGGGTTGGATCTCTCTCTCTCTCTCTCTCTCTCTCACACACACACACACACACAGAGGGAATTACTGGATCGCAAAAGGATGATGTCTAAGGTTTAGAAACTGTATGGTAACAGTTTGCATCTGGTAATATTTTAAAAATTGTGGCACTTTTGTGGGGCTATTAAAAAATTCCCATATAGTAAATAGAATAATTTCCAATAAATGGTTGAGGACCTGTTGAAATGCTTCAGAGCTGATGAATCCTCCACCCCCACTTTGGTCCTGGGAATCAAAGGCTTTTCTAATACGTGATTCTCTCTCCTCCAATTTGTTTTCCTCTTGCACATTGACATCAAGGGCAAAGAGGACTGTGTAGTGAGATTCGCTTCCAATTACCCAGATGGGCCACTTCGGGCACTTGAGGTAATGCCCAACTTTACAGAAGTTGAGAGACTCAAGCAAAGTGAGGAACCCAACTTCTACACTTGTCGGTATGCCCTTAAGGGACATGCCACCTCCCAGGTCCATGCTACCATCAAACACATTTGGCACAGCTTGCCCGCAAAGCAATAGGTTAACAATTTCCTGTAGCACAATCACAAGGTAATGCATCTATTTAAAATGGTATTTGCTCAGCTCAAATGTCAAATATCAGTGTGCATGTGTCCGTGAGAGAACAATTTCCTGTAGCACAATCACAAGGTAATGCATCTGGTTAAAATGCTATTCACTCAGATCAAATATCAAATGCCAGTGTGTGTGCGCGTGTGAGAGTGAACAATTTCCGGTAGCACAATCACAAGGTAATGCATCCGGTTAAAATGGTATCTGCTCAGCTCAAATGTCAAATGCCAGTGAGTGTGGAGAGAGAGAGTGTTTAAAGGCATAATCGAGGGTCTTTATAATATATATATATATATATATATTATAAACTGTTTACTAAGACATAATCGAGAGTTCAAAGAAATAATCTAAATAAATCAAAACCAAATCATACTTGGTACAAGAAAACCATTTGAAGGTTGGGAGTACAATATCTAAAGCAAGGATATCATTTCAGCTTGAGGAGGCATGATTAAAAAAGCCAGGTGATATTAGCAACCTATCAGAGAAAAAGCAACAGGCGTGAACATGAACATTCGTATGCTATGCATGTTAGTGAAGAAAACTTAGAGGTCGATCGACTACATATGGCATTATTTTTGAAATTTGACATATATTGATTGGGTTCAGTTACAGAAAGAACGGTGGTACAATGTGAAGAATATTACTTTATAATTGACAATAGTTTCTACTTTACCTGTGAGGCATGCCCAAAGGGAGCAGTCACCAATGGTAGTCCAGGATCATCCCTGTCAGACTGAATAGCCTCCTGAAGCAAGATTAGAATGTTTTAAACAAGGAGTCACTAACAGGCAAAATCCAAAGACCCATAAATGATATTGTAAGCACAGATGATAATTCCAGAGTGACATGGTAGTTCATTTCTTCTCGGAATCAATACACATGCTATCCATCACTCACAAGATGGGCAGACAACTCAACCATGGAAAAGGCAAATTTCCAAGAACCTACAAAAATAATGCAGATCTTAATAGTAACTTAAGAAGAACCTAAAAAGCCAGATTCACATGGGGTAGCAGAAGCATAGGAGAGAGAAAGCAACCAAAAAAAAAAAGGACTGCTGCTTTGCTTCCCTTTTGTTTTGGGAGAAACTGAATACTAATTGGATAATCAGCACACTTCCAAGCATTTATGCCAGTCTTTTATAAAGGAAAAGCAAGAAAAAGAAATTTCCTAACATGTGCAAGCAATTGCCACTCTTTGGGTATGGAGCTCCGAAACTCTAATTGACAGCAGCCCCAACCAAGAGAACTAAATCAAGAACCGAATAAGTACAGTAGATTGAAACTGAACTTGCCAGCAACTTCACATACTTTAGCTATACCACTTCCACAAACAACAGATGGTCCCTCGAATTAGAAGGGTTAAAAATTTTGTCCACTTATTTGTTTGATCTTCTCCTAAAATTCCTTAACTGTTCGAAGACCATGGCTCCATCTGATGGAGCTCTTCTCTCATCCCTCCATTTCCAACGAGCCCCCTCTCTACAGTCTCCTAACCTACACTGCCGTCCTCCCCATCCTCCCACTTCCCAGCTTCCTTCGTCTTCATGCATCCGCCTCTCTCTCCCAGCTCAAGCTCCTCCCCCTCTTCCAACTCTTTATCACAGCTACACCCATCTCATTCATAACGACAGTTACCTTATTCTTCCACAACCTGCTAAACCCTCTTCTTCTCCTTCTCCCCACCTCCTCCCTTACCCTCCTTTGAATCTCCCTCTCTTTCCCACTCTCGCCTGGTGGCCCCTTTCTCAATCCCAGTGGGGCAACCCCCACTCTTCCCCCCCCCCGGGGGAAATGCACGCCCATTTTCAAACCCTCCTGCCTCCCCCTCTCTCTTCTGTGCAGCCCCCCCTTTCCCCACCTCTACGGCTGTCCACCATCCTATCCCTGCTTCCTCTACAACTGGCCTCAATGTGTCCTTCCCTCAAGGCTCACCCCACATGACTCTGCCCTCTTTACCTCCCTCCGAGGATTTCCAACCGCTGAGCCTCTCAAAGTCGTTAGATCCTATGACCAACACCCCTCCTCTTTTCACATCCTCGGGCACCATCACTGGGTCTTCTACCTCCCATCCCCCACCTTTTTCTCTACAAGTTTCTCCCTCCTCTCCATCTCCCTCCACCATGGGTGCCCCCGAATACATCTGCTCTTCTTCAATTGCTTCCCTCTGCCACCTCTAATCCTCTAGCCCTATGTTTTTTTTTTGATAATGTTAATCTTTTATCCTCTAGCCCTTTGTTATGTCCTTCTCGCCTTTCCTCTCCTCGGTCCTTGCCCACCTCCAACCCACCTCATCCCTCGCCGTCCCTTCTCCCCCCATCTCACCATCCCCTCCTCAAAGCTCTTTTGATGGTACCCCTCTCTCGGTTTCTGGCCCATTGCAGGTCACAACACTCTCTACGTTAGGCGATCACCCATCAGCTTTGAGTGAGCGCCCAAAGCTTAACATCCCTACTGGCCCTCACCTTATCTACTCCTCGCCCCTCTTTCTCCTGCCCCATCCTCTCCCATCCCCCCCCAATCCTCTACAATCACCCTCTTCCACCTTTGCTGTCCTACAACCCCAACTGTTCACAGCTGCCCCTCATTCCTCTATCAAGCGCATAACCCTCTCAAACCCTTTCCTTGGAGTCATACTCGATGGACTCCGCCGATTCAATTTTTGTGGATCCTCTGGACAACGCCCAAGGGAACGTAGATGAAGTTCTCAAGGTTATGCGCTTTCGATATAATGGCCCACATAAAGCACTTGAAACCTTCGTCAAAGCTGATAGCCAAACCAGATTGAAGAAGAAAACTAAAGGTAAAGCTCCAGCAACAAACCCTAACAGCACCCAAGAACTTTCTAACATAGTCTTCGAAGTGAACTACGAGAGAGGTAAACCCTCTGCCTCGACACCTGTCACCGAAGCCTCCTCTGGTCAGCAGGCAGCTCGAAGCTTGTCTAGGTGACCCCCAACCACACAATGAAGATTGTCATATGGAACATCTGGGGCCTAGGACACCCGGATAAGCGGAATCTTGTTTGCCAGTTCACCTCACAGGTTGCACCCTCTCTTCTTGGCTTGGTGGAAATTAAGCTCCCCATCCCCTCCCTCTCTAAAATTAGGTAAATATGGGGCTTCAAACCCTGCCAATGGGCAGCCCTTGAAGACCTCTGTGCATAGGGAGGCATTTGGGTCCTTTAGGACCAACTTTACACTCACCCATGGCCCGCCATGTTGGCCAGTTTTCAATCGCTGTCACATTATCTAGGAACTCCAATGCCTTGCTCTGGAAGTGCTCTATGGTCTATGGACCAAAGTCACCGAACTTAAATAGTGAGAGAGTTGCTTTTTAGAGAGCACTACAATTTGCCACTTCTTTGGCTTCATCCACTTGGTGCTTAGGGGATGATTTTAATCTAACCAGATGGTCCCATGCCATAACTACCATGACAAAATCACCCCCGCATGGTTCAATTTCAGACTTGATCTCCCACAATCACCTCATAGCTTTGGAAGGGGCTGAATTCACATGGTCCTGTCACTCATCTAGCCCCACCCTTTCTAAACTTGATAAATTCTTACGTCTCTCGAGTGGGATAATCACTTTCCTGGTACCCACTTTTTGGTCCTTCCCAAACCTACCTCAGACCACCAGCCCATACTTCTCGATAGCCAATCAATTCCTCGAGGGCCCAAACCTTTCCGCTTTGCGATGACTTGGTATGAACAGGCCAACTTCCCTTCCCTAGTCCGCTCGCAACTGGAATCCTTCCCTCCCCTTGTGCAAGGCTGGGTTGGATACAGGTTACAAATCAAACTCAAAATGCTAAAGAACTTTCTCAAATCGTGGAGCTCCCAACTTCCGGGAATTTTTTGTACCCAAAAGGATGCTCTGCTGCAGTCTATACAACATTAGGATTCCATTGAAGAATCAGGGCCCCTTTCTCCTACCAAGGTGAAGTGTCGCTATAAAGCCAAACATGACAACCAAATACTCCTCAAGAAAGAAGAGATCTACTGGTCCCAACGAGCCAAGGTTAAATGGCCCAAGCTCAGTGATCAAACTACTACTTATTTCCACAAAATTGCAACCTGCAGTAGGAGAGAAAATTCTATCACCCATCTGAAAGTGGGGGAACACATCCTAGACTAACCACATCTCATTGAGCAGGTTCCTGTCCCATATTTCTCCCAGCTCTTCTCCACTCCCAGCTCTCCTTTTCAACCATTACCCCTGAAATGGCAGCCTCTCTCGAAAGACCCTTCTCTGAGGACGAGGACCTTAGCAATGACCGAACTCCCTGACCTGAAGTCTTTACCATTGCCCTCTTTAAATCCTTTTGGGACACCTTTAAACCAGCTATCATGGCCTTTTTCCAAGAATTCCATTCCTGGGCCATCATCCATAAGGCTATGCTTGATAATTCCATAGCTTTGATTCTTAAAATCGAGGGAGCTAAAAAACTGAAAGATTTCAGGCCTATTTAGCTTGATAAATAGCTAATACAAAAGCCTTTCCAAAGTCGTAGCTACTCAGCTCAAGTCGACCCTTGGTTGGGTCATCTCCGCAACCCAATGGCTATTCGTGAAGGATTGTCGGATCCTTGATGGGCAATTAATCGCCCATGAATGTATACATTATCAATTAGATTCGGAGAAAGCTTATGACCATGTTGAATGGAGTATCATGGATGAAACCCTCTCTAGAATGGGCTTCGGGACCATTTGGAGAAAATGGATCCAAGGGTGCATCTTCAAACCCCAGTTCTCAAGACTTATAAATGGCACTCCCAAGCGTTACTTTCAAGCTTCATGAGGGCTTCACCAAGGGGACCTCCTGCCGCCTTTCCTCTTCGTGATAGTGGCTGAGGTATTCCGTGCATCCATCTCTCGAATGTACAGTGCGGGTCTTCTCTCGGGCTTTCACATTGGTAGGTTGAGTCCCTCCATCTCCCATCTCCAATATGCTGATGACACTTCTTTTTTGCAATGCCACCCAACAAGAAGTTGACTAGTTACTCCTCTTTCTCCAATGCTTTGAGATGCCAACGGTTTTAGAGTTAACTTGAAGAAAACTAAGATGGTGGGTATCAGCTTAGACCATGGCCTTGTCCAAAGCTTTGCTGATCAATGGGGGTGTGCTGTTGAAGAACGGCCGTCCAGTTACCTCGATCTTCCACTTTGCCTTGGCCTACCGAGAATCCAGCACTGGAGCCCTGTAATTGACAAATTTGAGAGGCGACTAGCTACTTGGAAAGAGAGATTCTTATCTCCTGCCGGAAGAGTGACCCTCATAAAGGCCACTCTCTCCAATATTTCCTCTTCTATATGCCAGCAGCAGTAATTGCTAGGCTGAAAAAGATCATGATAGACTTCCTTTGGTCGAGTAAAGAAGGCCACAAATTCCACCTCATCTCCTGGGCCAAAGTGTGTCGACTCAAAGCTCAAGGAGGCCTTAGAGTTTGCAATCTCAGACTCAATAGCATTTGCCTTAATGGGTAAATGGTGGTGGCGCTACGCCACCCAACCCAGCCATCTTTGGAGAGAGGTGACAAGGCGAAAATATTGCCGTGCAGACCACACTTGGCTTCCTTCATGCATAAGAGGGGGTAACATCTCTGGCTTCTGAAGGTCCCTCCTCCACTGCCGCCAACTCTTTTGAACCAGGTGCGCTATTCTCCCAGATGTGGTAACAGGGTTAGATTCTGTTGTGACACCTGGGTTGGCTCTACCCCACTTAAGGACCAGCTTCTGTCACT